CCTATCTACGGTCATCTCGTCTCGCAGACAGATTTGGCTCTCACAGATAAAGATGTCGGCATCTGTGAAGAAACCCTTTATGGGATGATAGTACTAAATTACCTAGACGATTGGCTAATCTGCACTCAGTCACAAGAACAGGCAGCAGCAGACACAACATCTCTCCTGAAGCATATCTCAGAGCTAGGCCTCAGGTTGAACAGGCGAAAAAGCCACCTGGTCCCCACACAAACTGTGACGTTCGTGGGCATGCGGATCAACTCGTCTCTAATGAGCCGAAGAGCGAGTTCAGAAAATTGTAGATCACCTCAATCCTTTTGTCCAAGACCAGAAGATGACTGTTCTTCAATGTCAGAGACTGATGGGTCTCCTCTCCGCAGCCTTTCTTTTGACCCTATTGGTCCTTCTACACTTGAAACCCTTGCAGAGGTGATTCAGTGCTCAAGATTTACATCTCAAGGAACACAGGTATTGTTGCCTGACTGTGTCCAATGAATGCACGTGAGCACTGGCAAGATGGGGATCCCTGAAATTCCTTTCAGGTGGGAGACCTCGGGCAGAGGGAACTGGTTCAAACAGACACCTCCTTGACAGGCTGGGGAGCAGTTTTGAGGGGGTGGATGGTCGATGGGACATGGAGGCCCTGCTGGCCCAAACTCCACATCAACATGCTGTTGAGAGCAGTCCAACTTGCTCTGCTCAACTTTCTTCCACAACTGCGGGACAAACATGTTTTCGTACAGACAGACAGCACCACAGTGGTAGCGTACATAAACCTTCTGCTGTGGTCACAGAAGAATCTGGCCTCACTAAGAGCTGTGCACCTCCCAGGGAACCTGAACACTGCGGCAGGCGTGCTGTCCAGGGAAGGCCCTCCGGAAGGGGAGTGGCGACTACATCCCCGAATAGTGAGTCGCATGTGGGGATTCTTTGGGGAAGCGGAGGTGGATCTGTTCGCCTCAGAGAGGAACACACAGTGCCCCCTCTGGTTCTCGATATCCAACCCCCCCAGGCCACTTGGCCTAGATGCCCTGGAACACGAGTGGCAGAGGAAGAGGCTATACGCCTTCCCCCTGATTCCAGCAACTCTGGAGAGAATCAGGGAAGTGGGCCACCAGGTCCTTCTGATTGCCTCAAGATAGCTGAGATGCCACTGGTTCAGCTCAATACTGTCACTCCTAGCGTGGACAGCATGGGAACTACCTCGGAGGCTGGACCTATTGTCACAGGCAGAGGGCACATTGTGGCCTCCGAATCCCTCCCACCTGCAGCTGTGGGCCTGGCCGCTGAACAGCGAAAATGGTCTGGTTTAGATCTTGAGCCCTCTGTTGTTAACATCTTACAGAGTGCCATGGCCCCCTCCACCACATCAACCTATAACAGAAGGTGGCACGTGTTCTGCCAGTGGTGTGGGGAGCAGGGGGTTGCTCCAGAATCTTGCGGCATAAGAACTGTGCTCTAGCTCTTGAGGTCTTTGTTCGATGCTGGCAGGGCTGCATCCACAATTAAGGTATACACAGCAGCCATTTCAGCATTTCATAATGAAGAGCAGGATGGTCTGCTTGGCAGCCAGCCGCTCATGATAAGATTTCTTTAGGGAGTCAGTCGATTTCACCCCTCAAGAGCCCCCTCAGTTCCCAAATGGGATTTGGATCTGATTATTGGAGTACTATCCAGACCTCTCTTCGAACCGTTAGACGCTATGGACTTGAAACATCTCTCTCTTAAGACAGCGTTTCTGGTGGCCATCCCCTCTACCAAGAGGGTTGGTGAGCTCCATGCTTTGTCTGTTAGTGATGAGTGTTATCGTCTAGGCCTGGGTAAGGCGAGCGTTACTCTGCAGCCTAATCCTGCCTTCCTACCAAAGGCCCTGCCCCCAGGTCACGTGAACAGGGAAATGGTGCTAACAGCCTTTTCCACCTCCATGCCCCCTGGTGTTGATGTACGTGTTCTGTGTCCTGTGAGATCCCTAAACACATACGTGAAGCGGACTCAGGCGATTCGTCACTCTGATCAGCTGTTTGTGTGCTTTGTAGATTAGTACAGGGTAAACCTCTCTCAAAACAACGGTTGTCACATTGGATTGTAGACACTATCCTGCAAGCATATAGCCTAGCTGGCCGCCCAGCCCCACCTCCTGGGCACTGCTTAAGGGAGTCCCCCTCTCTCACATATGCGCAGCTACCAGCTGGGCGTCCCCCAGTACCTTTGCAAGGTTTTACTGGGTGAATGTGGCTGACCCTCATGGTGTGAGCTCAGCTGTGCTTGGTGCTACCCTTCCCTCGCAACAGTAACCTGTGGTTGGGCAAGGTACTGCCTCAAGCACCTATAGTGATGTGTTGCTCTAGGCTGTGTCTTACGGGAACCGACTTACTCTGGTATTGTCATCCCATTGAGTGACTAGCATAGTCCCGCAAGCGAAATAGAACGAAGGTTACTCACATAACCACGGTTCTATGAGCTAGGGACTATACTAGTCCAGCTGTCGGTTCCCTTTGTAGCGTCGGGAAGAGTCTTGAGGAAGTGATGCTATGTGCCCAGGTATTTATAGGGGGTGGGGGCAAGCGCATCACACCCGTGGCACGGAATTACTCTGACATTAATATCTCGACTCATCCTGCCGCCAGGTGGAAGGATATCCCATTGAGTGACTAGCATTGTCCCTAGCTCATAGAACCGTGGTTACGTGAGTAACCGTTGTTCTCTTAATGACGGCAAGGGCATCTGTTCGGTGGTTTCCACTAGTTACCACAGCCACAAAGTCAAAATTGGCTCTTTCAAAACAATTCATGAAAACAAAAATTTGCTTTTTGGTCTTAATTTAAGGTTAGGGTTAGCAGTGTGGTTAGGGTTAGATTTGCAGGAATGCCCACATGTAGAAACGCCCCTAATTGAGGGACGCAATCAAATCAAATCAATCAAATCAAATTGTATTTGCCACATGCGCCGAATACAACAGGTGTAGACATTACAGTGAAATACTTACAAGCACACGACCAGCTGGCTCAACTGGGTACGGTAATAGATGAGGTCCTCCGCGTTCTCCAGCACCTCGACAACACCCGAGAGGATTCACAAATGTAATGAATTTTGTAAGTGATTGCAGAAATGTGGAGCATTAAAACTAAAAGCGGATTTGCCTAGTTCGGTGGAGACCCGAGAAATCTCAAGAGTTAACCAATCCTGTGAACGGGTTTGGTATCTCGTGTTTTTATACTTTAACAACAACGTTAGGTAAGTCGGAAGCATGTAGGCTATTGTAGAGCTTTGTAAACAAAAAGGGAGTAATGACGTGATCTGGGACTTTAATAAGGACCAGCCAACCTTTTGATATAGGATGCAGTGATGCAATATGACAATATGACCGAGCAGCGAAGATTACCATTCGATTTCAGCAGGGCGCGCCTCCCTCACCCCTGATTATGGATATAGTGACAAGATACTTGTCTCTCCGCCCTAACAATGGGAGTCCTTGTCCACAAAGAGGCACGGCGGGCTGTCTAGCTCCCGCCTATCCTTTCTTTGGATTGGTGGATACATCTAAGTATTTTAATACTTTTTTGAATATTCAATGAGGGTTGTTGACGTCAACTGCCTGTATTCAATGGAGATGCTATGTTACTAGCCTCATGCCATGAATATGCATAGCCATCTTGAGACAACTCTGATATAAAGTTATTATATTATTATAAAGTGATGTCACGTGTCCTACTTATATCAGCATTACGAAACTTCTATTCAATCAAATAAACCTCACATTGCAAATAAGCCATTACTTTTTTGTTGACCAAATTTGACACTCATTGACCTCCATTCAAAAACTCCTTGCATGTTTGGCAAAAAAACGACACCTGTTGGAGGGAGACAGATTTTCCGCTGAGTTGGGCCTCTCTTTTGACCTCTTCCTCTCTGGGTATACTCAGCAAAATGACATTGGGCTCGTTTGAGTGGTAAGGCGAAAGCAACTGACTGTAGATGAAAAGTGGAGTGAAGCCGGGGGAGATGCATCTTCAACAGCCGAAAGTCGGACATTAATGTGGTTTTCCAACAGCAAGGCTCAGATCAAAATGGCAGTGTTGCTATCGTTTACAAAAGTTTTCTTTATAATGTCAACATAAACATGGCTCCAACACCCCCATATCACATACTCACAAACTGAAATCATATGTGTGTGTACATTGTACAATCAGTCAGTGAGATAGATCATGAAATATCACATACATTTTTATACATCCACTGTATATATGAATCGTAGCAAAGTTGGTTCCTGTTTCAGTCATGTCTTTGGTCACATTCGCGTGGATCAAACAAAAACACCCTAATGATTGGTTGGCAATAGAGCCTCCCACAATGCAGGCGATGGCTGCAGGATGAAGTTGGTAAAGACCAACTGCAGAAACTTGCAGTCGACTGCAGTCAAAATGTAATGACCTTCGATCACATGATTTTTGTGAAGTTCATGCAGTCGACATCTAGGCGCAAGTCGGACAATTTTTAACCCCATAATGCAACACACTTTGAAATCCGCTCGAACGTGCCCATTGAGATGAGTGAGATGCAACACTTAGCTCTCACACAGTCACACAGTAGCTGCGCATGTGCAGAGGTTCACTTCACACTGTTCACAGCGTGGTAGTCAGGGAACCAAAACAGCGGAGAAGTTGAGCATCACTTTTCACAGCTCTTAGTTGTTGCGGAAAATTGACCCACTATGCTGTTTACGTTCTTACAGCCTAAAAACACACCACTTTGATACAGCTATGACCGAAAGTGACTTTTTCGTAGCAGGTTAGGAGAACTTATGCAGCAGGTTAAGATAATTAACATAGGTTAGGAGAATTAGGTTAAGGGTTAGCGTAAATGCTTTCCTAACCTGCTACGAAAATTGTGACTTTGTGGCTGTGGTAACTATTGACAACCGTTCCAAATTGAATGCAATCAACACTAACCCGGTTCACCTGGGGCATTAATAGAATCCCCTCAATAAGTGACAAAATATGGAATTTGTAGAAAACATGTAGCCTATCATGTTCCAGTTTATTTTGTGATGCACACCACCCAAACAAACAAACAACCAACCAAAACATCCTCTTTCCTCATTCTTCTTGAGGAGAACACACTTAACATTACATTGTGTGACAACATGGATCACTTTTTTGTTATAAAAATATTTGCAGCTGCATGCCAATACCATCTCACTATTGGGAAAAGCATAGAAATAAGCCTTCAAGGTTAGTGAAAGAAAGGGGGGAAACATTTGTTGTACCTCTGAAAATGGTAGTGGTGAAATTGTTAAAAATAATGAATCTTCTATGGAATTTAAACAAGACAAAACTGTCAGATAAGAACAAAACTAAAAATATTGATTCTTCAAGACATTGATTTCATCCTCTCATAATTTAATCAGGATGTCAACTTTGTCTTGCATTGAGAGAAACTGCATGAATGTCTAGGAAAATAAACAGATGAGGGGAAAAACATAGAAACTCTGACAATTACTTTAATCTGAAGCAATAAAACAAACAATTTATTCAGACACAGGGCAAAAAGTCCAGTCAAGCATGATTTCTCAATAAACAAAGTATTTTTATCTGTTGCGATATCAAACAACTCCATTAATGCCCAAACGCAAGGCCTGCCATATGCCCTACAGAGAGGACTTACAAAGAATATAATGCTTGTAAATTGAGATATACTTGGAAACATGAGGGGTATCAGGGACTGATGTCGCTGTGCTTTTAGGAGTAGATCATCTCTAGGGGTTAAGAAAAAGACCTAAAGGCGAGGTGACTGTCGAAGTTTGCACTTAAAATGTCAATGCATTTGTAAAGTCTTGTCCATACAAAAAGCAAAACATTGAAACAATCAGGGCAAAAGTGAAATGGAAAACTAAATTCATATAACATGTAAAAGTTAGTGTTTGGTTAGCAGCATTAACAAATCCTATAACAAAAGTGCTCTATTTTTGGCACATACTGTCAATTCCTCATATTGCCTAGCTACTAAATAATCGTCCCATTGATTGCTGTTGATGAACAGGAGTAGTTGGAGACGGATAGCTACAGAGAATTGTATGACTTGGCTGCAAGTGCCCACTTTTCACACTGAAATCCACCACGGAAAAATAAAATCCTACTGTGAATGTTTATCCATGGGTCTCACATACAACACTGATTGAGACAAGCGCTTGACTTTTGTTTTTCTTTCTTCCAAGTGTAGTATGTTAAGAGCAATGTTGTGCATTTGAACATTCGCATGGGATAGTACAGAGTGAATTAAAAGTAAAAAGTAGCGACTTAAAACAAGGAGCAGAATGCCGATGGACAAAGATCTAAGTTTGAAAAGAAATACTCCCCCCCACCCCCTGTAAAAAAAAGAACAATCTGAACAACATTGGTTTGTCTTTAATTTAATTTTTGTCCAAGGTAGCTAAGTCCAATTCTCACTGAGCGGCACTGAGAAAAAAAATGGACGATATTCTTGTTTAATGGGCATGCAGTCCACACGAAAACAGGCCCCTGACAAAGTCCCGCAGAGCAGTAGCCATTCAGTTGTCGGTCGCTGGGTTGAAGAGGGTAACGCTGACATCCATGCGGGAAGAAGAGCGAGAGGAGCATCCACGGGACCGAGTGCTCAGAGAAGCCTTCAGCCTGACTGGACCACCTGCTCTCCACCCCCCCCTTCATCCCTCTCTCTTTAAGCAACATAGTTGTATTGGTTGGGGTTCTCCTTGTCGCGCTCCATGTAATCTCTGTCAATGAGAGACTCTATTCTCTTCTTTAGGTCAGCAGGCTGTTGAGAAGATGAGCGTTAGCGAACAAAAAAACATGAAACCTCTCAAAATTAGAGTCCACTATGAAGTGCTTGTACAGTTTACATGCATCTTTATACAACGGGTGGGTCTAATCCTGGATGCTGATTGGTTAAAACAGTGTTCCAGCTGATGTCTATTCCACAAGTTACCACTGGCTAAGTCTATGACGTTGAAATGCCTATTCAGCAATCCACTGTCTCATCAGCCCAGCCAGGTAATTTATGAACTTGATCTCCACTGTAAAACGCATCTAGACATTATCTCCCATTTGTTTTGGTTTTTAACAGCAGAGATTTGTATAAACCTTGCTGTCTGTCTCGCCGACATTTGCAACATCGTTTCAATATTGAAATTTGATCTCCAGCTGTTCCATAGTAATGAACGTGTCGCGAGTCGGAACGAGACAGACAGGCAGACAGCTTTTCTCAGCCAGTCGAAATCATGAATCAGCATGATTTTTATGACAAAGAAATGTCAAAGAAGTCAAACAATACAACATTTTTTTACATTTTTACATTTTAGTCATTTAGCAGACGCTCTTATCCAGAGCGACTTACAGTTAGTGAATACATTTTTTTTTTTTTTTATTATACTGGCCCCCCGTGGGAATCGAACCCACAACCCTGGCGTTGCAAACGCCATGCTCTATCAACTGAGCCACATCCCTGCCGGCCATTCCCTCCCCTACCCTGGACGACGCTGGGCCAATTGTGCGCCGCCCATGAGTCTCCCGGTCACGGCCGGCTGCGACAGAGCCTGGATTCGAACCAGGATCTCTAGTGGCACAGTTAGCACTGCGATGCAGTGCCTTAGACCACTGCGCCACTCAGGAATCGAACCCACAACCCTGGCGTTGCAAACACCATGCACCATATTTTTTTTTTAAATAATTTTTTATTTTTATTTTTTACTGGCCCCCTGTGGGAATCGAACCCACAACCCTGGCGTTGCAAACACCATGCTCTATCAACTGAGCTACATCCCTGCCGGCCATTCCCTCCCCTACCCTGGACGACGCTGGGCCAATTGTGCGCCGCCCATGAGTCTCCCGGTCGCGGCCGGCTGCGACAGAGCCTGGATTCGAACCAGGATCTAGTGGCACAGTTTTGCACTGCGATGCAGTGCCTTAGACCACTGCGCCACTCAGTTTCAAGCTGTAGGCAATGGTTTTCAAGTCTGCAAGTACGTTTCATTTACATTTACATTTTAGTCATTTAGCAGACGCTCTTATCCAGAGCGACTTACATATTTTTTTTATTTTATTTATATTTTTATTTATTTTAAATACATTATTTTATTATTATTTTTTTATTTTTATATTTAATTTTTTTTATACTGGCCCCCTGTGGGAATCGAACCCACAACCCTGGCGTTGCAAACACCATGCACCATATTTTTTTTTTTAATATTTTTTTTTTATTTTATTTATTTTTAATTTATTTATTTTTTTATTTTTATACTGGCCCCCTGTGGGAATCGAACCCACAACCCTGGCGTTGCAAACACCATATATTTTTTTTTAATAATATTTTTTTTTATTATATATATATTTTTTTATTTTTTTTTATACTGGCCCCCTGTGGGAGTCGAACCCACAACCCTGGCGTTGCAAACACCATGCACCATATTTTTTTTTTAAATAATTTTTTATTTATTTTTTACTGGCCCCCTGTGGGAATCGAACCCACAACCCTGGCGTTGCAAACACCATGCACCATATTTTTTTTTTTAATAATTTTTTTTTATTTTTTTTTTTATACTGGCCCCCTGTGGGAATCGAACCCACAACCCTGGCGTTGCAAACACCATGCACCATATTTATTTTTTTAATAATTTTTTATTTATTTTTTTATTTTTATTTTTTACTGGCCCCCTGTGGGAATCGAACCCACAACCCTGGCGTTGCAAACACCATGCACCATATTTTTTTTTTAAATAATTTTTTATTTTTATTTTTTACTGGCCCCCTGTGGGAATCGAACCCACAACCCTGGCGTTGCAAACACCATGCACCATAATTTTTTTTTTAATAATTTTTTTTTATTTTTTTTTTATTTATTTTTTATTTATTTTTTATTTATTTTTTATACTGGCCCCCTGTGGGAATCGAACCCATAATTTTTTTTATTTTTTATATATATATATATTTTTTTTATACTGGCCCCCTGTGGGAATCGAACCCACAACCCTGGCGTTGCAAACACCATGCACCATATTTTTTTTTTAAATTATTTTTTATTTTTTTTTATACTGGCCCCCTGTGGGAATCGAACCCACAACCCTGGCGTTGCAAACACCATGCACCATATTTTTTTTTTAAATAATTTTTTATTTTTATTTTTTACTGGCCCCCTGTGGGAATCGAACCCACAACCCTGGCGTTGCAAACACCATGCACCATATTTTTTTTTTAAATAATTTTTTTTATTTTTTATTTTTTTATTTTTATTTTTTATTTTTATTTTTTATACTGGCCCCCTGTGGGAATCGAACCCACAACCCTGGCGTTGCAAACACCATGCACCATATTTTTTTTTTTTTTTTTTTTACTGGCCCCCTGTGGGAATCGAACCCACAACCCTGGCGTTGCAAACACCATGCACCATATTTTTTTTTTTAATAATTTTTTATTTATTTTTTACTGGCCCCCTGTGGGAATCGAACCCACAACCCTGGCGTTGCAAACACCATGCACCATATTTTTTTTTTTAATAATTTTTTTTTTTTTTTTTTTTTTTTTATACTGGCCCCCTGTGGGAATCGAACCCACAACCCTGGCGTTGCAAACACCATGCACCATATTTATTTTTTTAATAATTTTTTATTTATTTTTTTATTTTTATTTTTTACTGGCCCCCTGTGGGAATCGAACCCACAACCCTGGCGTTGCAAACACCATGCACCATATTTTATTTTTTAATAATTTTTTATTTTTATTTTTTACTGGCCCCCCTGTGGGAATCGAACCCACAACCCTGGCGTTGCAAACACCATGCACCATAATTTTTTTTTTAATAATTTTTTTTTATTTTATTTATTTATTTTTTCTTTATTTTTTATACTGGCCCCCTGTGGGAATCGAACCCATAATTTTTTTTATTTTTTATATATATATATTTTTTTTATACTGGCCCCCTGTGGGAATCGAACCCACAACCCTGGCGTTGCAAACACCATGCACCATATTTTTTTTTTTAATATATTTTTTTTTCTTTTTATACTGGCCCCCTGTGGGAATCGAACCCACAACCCTGGCGTTGCAAACACCATGCACCATATTTTTTTTTTAAATAATTTTTTATTTTTATTTTTTTACTGGCCCCCTGTGGGAATCGAACCCACAACCCTGGCGTTGCAAACACCATGCACCATATTTTTTTTTTAAATAATTTTTTTTATTTTTTATTTTTTTATTTTTATTTTTATTTTTTATACTGGCCCCCTGTGGGAATCGAACCCACAACCCTGGCGTTGCAAACACCATGCACCATATTTTTTTATTTTTATTTTTTACTGGCCCCCTGTGGGAATCGAACCCACAACCCTGGCGTTGCAAACACCATGCACCATATTTTTTTTTTAAATAATTTTTTATTTTTATTTTTTACTGGCCCCCTGTGGGAATCGAACCCACAACCCTGGCGTTGCAAACACCATGCACCATATATTTTTTTTTAAATAATTTTTTTATTTTTTATTTATTTATATATATATATTTTTTTTTTTTTTTATACTGGCCCCCCGTGGGAATCGAACCCACAACCCTGGCGTTGCAAACACCATGCACCATATTTTTTTTTAAAATAAATATATATATATATATAATTTTTTTTTTTTAATTTTTTTTATTTTTATTTTTTATACTGGCCCCCTGTGGGAATTGAACCCACAACCCTGGCGTTGCAAACACCATGCACCATATTTTTTTTTTAAATAATTTATTATTTTTATTTTTACTGGCCCCCTGTGGGAATCGAACCCACAACCCTGGCGTTGCAAACACCATGCACCATATTTTTTTATTTAATAAATTTTTTTTTTTTTTATATATTTTTGTATTTATTTTTATACTGGCCCCCTGTGGGAATCGAACCCACAACCCTGGCGTTGCAAACACCATGCACCATATTTTTTTTTTTAATAAATTTTTTTTTTTTTGTTTATTTTTATTTTATTTTTTTATTTTTATTTTTAATACTGGCCCCCTGTGGGAATCGAACCCACAACCCTGGCGTTGCAAACACCATGCACCATATTTTTTTTTTTTATAATTTATTTTTTATTTTTTTATTTTTATTTTTTACTGGCCCCCTGTGGGAATCGAACCCACAACCCTGGCGTTGCAAATTTTTTATTTTTTTTTTAACAGTTTGAATAACCCACAACCTGCTTTGCAACACATGCCCAACCTGCTTCATGTTTTTGATTTTATTTATGACTGTGGGAATTGGTTTCACCGATGTGTTAGGCAACATGCAGCTATAGTTTGCTGTCTTTCCTGCTTCAGTTTGAAGTGATTGTGTTCGCTGTGTAGTTGGCTAGCTCTTCTGGTCTGAACAGTGTCCTGGCTAGAGAGAAAATGTTCTATGCCATGCGAAATTGTGCATCATTAGATCATTGTGATGGATGTATCCAAATAAATGTCACTAGAAAACAGATTAGGCAAACGCAAATGCAGCCACTTTGCTGTTCCTTTGGCTGCACTGTTTGACGTGACTATTAGCTAGCAAGCAAGGGATAAGAACTGGCAAAGGAACATTTACAACGAATGACTGGGTCGCATCCATAGATATAGAACTAAAAGACTTCACGACTATGGCAGCCTAACCGATAGAATGAACAACCAGCTGGCTTGGGTAGCAACCCTAGATTTGCATCGGGACTATATATATCGTAGAAGGATGAAATAGTATGAATAAATTAATCAAAATAACATTAATCAAAATATGTCAATCATTATTTGAATATGTTGGTAAGCCGTTGTATAAAAGTGATAATGCCCTCGAAGCCAGTGTTTGGAGGATATATTGGCACGGTTTGCGGCCCGAGACTAAACAAATCAAATCTTATTTGTCACATGCGTAGACCTTACAGTGAAATGCTTACTTACAAGCCCTTAACCAACGACACAATTTTAAGAAAGAACACCCAAAAATATTAAATAACAAAATAATACGAAATAAAAGTAACAAATAATTAAAGAGCAGCAGTAAAATAACAATAGCGAGGCTATATACAGGGGGTACCAGGACAGAGTCAATGTGCATGGGCACCGGTTAGTCGAGGTAATATGTACATGTAGGTAGAGTTATTAAAGTGACTATGCATAGATAATAAACATAGAGTAGCAGCAGCGTAAAAGAGGGGGACACACACACAATGCAAATAGTCTGGGTAGCCATTTGATTAGATGTTCAAAATAACACCCGTGCCAATATATCCTCCAAACACAGGCTTCTCGGGCATTGCCACTTAATTGGATCATACTCTGCATGTCTGGGGTGAGTTTTCCAAAAGCCTCATAACTAACAAGGCACTTTCTCTCGACAACCCAGCCGCACAGCGACAAGAGTAACAAATTGTACAATTTACAGTGCATTCGGAAATTATTCAGACCCCTTAGCTTTTTCCACATTGTGACGTTACAGTCTTATTCTAAAGCTGATTAAATTGTTTGTTTCCCCTCATCAATCTACACACAATACCCCATAATGACAACGCAAAAAGAGGTTTAGAAACTAGAAAATGTATTCCCCCCAGAAAATTTAAATATCACAAATATTGATTTTAGTGTCAACTTAATGTATGTAAATTAAAATCTAAATTGAAATACAAAACGTAAAAATCTACCTGTAGTTGCAAAATTGCCCATACAGTGCATTCGTAAAGCATTCAGACCACTTGACTTTTTCCACATTTTGCTACGTTACAGCTTTATTCTAAAACTGATTAAATTGTTTGTTTTTCCCCTCATCAATCTACACACAATACCCCATTATGACAATGCAAAAACAGGTTTAGAAAATGTTAATGTATTAAAAACCTGAAATATCACATTTACATAAGTATTCAGACCCTTTACTCAGTACTTTGTTGAAGCCCCTTTGGCATCGATTACAGCCTCGAGACTTCTTGGGTATGATGCTACAAGCTTGGCACACCTGTATTTGGGGAGTTTCTCCCATTCTTCTCTGCAGATCCTCTCAAGCTCTGTCAGGTTGGATGGGGAGCGTCGCTGCACAGCTATTTTCAGCTCTCTCCAGAGATGTTCGATCAGGTTCAAGTCCAGGCTCTGGCTGGGCCACTCAATGACATTCAGAGACTTGTTCCAAAGCCACTCATGCGTCGTCTTGGCTGTGTGCTTAGGGTCGTTGTCCTGTTGGAAGGTGAATCTTCACCCCAGTCTGAGGTCCTGAGCGCTCTGGAGCAGGTTTCATCAAGGATCTCTCTGTACTTTGCTCTGTTCATCTTTCCCTCAATCCTGACTTGTCTCCCAGTCCCTGCCGCTGAAAAACATCCACACAGCACGATGCTGCCACCACGCTTCACTGTAGGGATGGTGCCAGCTTTCCTCCAATTGTGATGCTTGGCATTCAGGCCAAAGAGTTCAATCTTGGTTTCATCAGACCAGAGAATCTTATTTCTCATGGTCAGAGTCCTTTAGGTGCCTTTTGGCAAACTCCAAGCGGGCTGTCATGTGCCTTTTACTGAGGAGTGGCTTCCGTCTGTCCACTCTACCATAAAGGCCTGATTGGTGGAGTGCTGCAGAGCTGGTTGTCCTTCTGGAAGGTTCTCCCATCTCCACAGAGGAACTCTGGAGTTCTGTCATTGGGTTCTTGGTCCAACTGTGGGACCTTATATAGACAGGTGTGTGCCTTTCCAAAATCATGTCCAATCAGTTGAATTTACCACAGGTGGACTCCAATCAAGTTGTAGAAACATCTCAAGGATGATCAATGGAAACAGGATGCACCTGAGCTCAATTTCGAGTCTCATAGCAAAGGGTCTGAATACTTACGTAAATACGTTTGTTTTGTTATACATTTGCAAAACTTTCTACAAACCTGTTTTCGCTTTGACATTATGGGGTATTGTGTATAGATTGATGAGGACATTTCTTTATTTAATCAATTTTAGAATAAGGCTGTAATGTAACAAAATGTGGAAAAAGTCAAGGGGTCTGAATACTTTCCGAATGCACTGTATGTTGGACAGTCAGTCTGGGTCATCAAGAAAAATAAAGTACTACGTTAGCTACGAAGCGTTTGGGAACCTCACCCCTGAGTGAAGTGCTCTTCTTGCACCCCATTTACTCACCTTGACGGGGAACTTAAGTTGATTGTATACTTCTGACACCAAGAGGTTATGGCTCAGAGTCTTCCTCATCTTCATGATCCGGACGATGGCGGCGTCGATCTGATACTGCCGGTCCTGGTAGACTCGTTCCGTGGTGCTGGTTTGCTCCTCCACCTACCAAAGACAATTCACCAAATGAATGAGTGGCTAATATTCACCTTTCCCTGGTTTTCTTCTGCTTTATAGATGGTACAAATAAATCAGTAACCAGGTTTCCATCCAACCTTTTCATGAGAGTCACGACAGGAAATGTTTCTGTAAACAGCTAATTTGTCAGTAAACCTTCCAAATGTTGACAACACACGATAGAGAAGGTGGGAACTTTGTGTCTGTCAAATTAATTATGCGATAAATGGCGGTGGAAACGCTTTTAAACGCAAATATCGATATAATAACCATCATATCGGAGTACACTTGGGAGTCACACGATGACATGAGTGGTCCTCCCACTATGACTCAAGAAGGCATGCAGTTTATTCGGCTACAGATGAAATAATTTATGAACTTCACAGGGTGGTGAAAGTGCAAGGTGGTGAGCTTGATGCTCCTTTCCAATAAATATTAGAGGGTCTTTATTTTTTATAAAAAATAATAACACATTGGAGTTTACTGCACCTGGTATTCCCAGGCGGTCTCCAAATCAAAGTACTAACCAGGCCCGACCCTGCTTAGCTACCGAGATCAGGCGTGTTCAGGGTGGTATGGCCACAAGCATATTCTGTTTTACCCCATTTTGGCTCGTTGCTGCAACTCCCCAATGGGCTCTGGAGAGGCAAAGGTCGAGTCATGCGTCCTCCGAAACATGACCCGCATGGCCGCTCTAATTCTTAACACACTGCTCGCTTAACATGCAAGTCAGCCACACCAATGTGTCAGAAGAAAGCTTGCAGGCGGCCCGGCCCTGCCACAAGGAGTTGCTATAGCGCCATGAGCCAAGGAAAGCCCCCCAGCCAAACCCTGCCCTACCCCTGACGGCACTGGGCCAATTGTGCGCCATCCTATAGGGCTCCCGGTCACGGCCGGATGTGACAGTCTGGGATCGAACCCCAGGCTGTAGTGGCGCCTCAGCACTGCGATGCAATGCTTTCACCGCTGCCACTCGAGGGTCTTATTCTGGTGACATGATGATCGATGCTTGGCTGCCGTATGACAAATAATAATAATAATAATAATATTGCTCTTTTGTCCATAATAAATCTCATCATAGGCTATACCCGCACTGTATTTGCGAGCTGTTGGCTAGAGCGCACGTGCCAATACCAGAGTGGGCACATTCGCTATATCATTTTTAGTGACAGAAAGTTAGTTTTATGTGCATTACTTCATCACGCACAGACTTATCCACAACAAGTCAATTTGATGGAAACATATCTCTGATGGGAAAATGCGCATGTTATTTATGTGGATATTAGAATATTTGTATGAAAACCTGTTGCTAATTGGATGGAAACCTAGCTATTGGAGGATACTGATTAAGTGGGAACATACAGTTGAAGTCGGAAGTTTACGTACACTTAGGTTGGAGTCATTAAAACATGTTTTTCAACCACTCCACAAATTTCTTGTTAACAAACTATAGTTTTGCCAAGTCGGTTAGGACATCTACTTTGCGCATGACAAGTAATTTTTCCAACAATTGTTTACAGACAGATTATTTAACTTATAATTCACTGTATCACAATTCCAGTGGGTCTGAAGTTTACATACACAAAGTTGACTGTGCCTTTAAACAGCTTTGAAAATTCCAGAAAATGATGTAATGGATTTAGAAGCTTCTGATAGGCTAATTGACACCATTTGAGTCAATTGGAGGTGTACCTGTGGATGTATTTCAAGGCCTACCTTCAAACTCAGTGCCTCTTTGCTTGACATCATGGGAAAATCAAAAGAAATCAGCCAAGACCTCAGAAACATTTTTGTAGGAGGGACTGGTGCACTTCACAAAATAGATGGCATCATGAGGAAGGAAAATTATGTGGATATATTGAAGCAACATCTCAAGACATCAGTCAGGAAGTTAAAGCTCGGTCGCAAATGGTTCTTCCAAATGGACAATGACCCCAAGCATACTTCCAAAGTTGTGGCAAAATGGCTTAAGGACAACAAAGTCAAGGTACTGGAGTGGACATCACAAAGCCCTGACCTCAATTCTATAGAACATTTGTGGGCAAAACTAAGAAAGCGTGTGCGAGCAAGGAGGCCTACAAACCTGACTCAGTTACACCAGCTCTGTCAGGAGGAATGGGCCAAAATTCACCCAACTTAATGTGGGAAGCTTGTGGAAGGCTACCCGAAACATTTGACCCGTTAAACAATTTAAAAAGGCAATGCTACCAAATACTAATTGAGTGCATGTAAACTTCTGACCCACTGTGAATGTTATGAAACAAATAAAAGCTGAAATAAATCACTCTACTATTATTCTAACATTTCACATTCTTAAAATAAAGTGGTAATCCTAACTGAACTAAAACAGGGAATTTTAACTAGGATTAAATGTCAGGAATTGTGAAAAACTGAGTTTAAATGTATTTGGCTAAGGTGTATGTAAACTTCCGACTTCAACTGTATAGTGGAGAGTGACAGATTTCTTTGAACACCCGCCTCTAGAGGGCATTGGTTAGTTCTGTATCGTCAGTGCTTCAACTACACCAGACTCTGGCACTCATATTCCTATTTGAAATGCGTTTGGATGTATTCATTATGCACCAAAACTGGAACAGGCAGAGACTACCTGGACCTGTCTAATAAAAAAAAACTGCTGTCCAATAAAAACCTTTTAAAAAACAATGATCCTAATGAAAACAACCCTGCTGTGAGTGAGAGAGAATTTACTGTTTCTTTCATCTGGATCTGGTTGATCTTGATTCTGAAGAGTTTGTGTTTGAAGTCATCGTTGCAGGAGAACTTGTCTCCGTCCTCCACGTCTTTGCTCTTGGGGACTTTGTGGATGACCCGCGCCTTGCCACACGCCAATGACTGCAGGGTCCGTCGCAGCTCGCCGTCCTCTGCACACACACACACACACAAACAGTGCCTTCAGAAAGTATTCATACCCCTAGACTTATTCCACATCTGGTTGTGTTACATCCCGAATTCAAAATGGATTACAATACCCCATAATGACAAAGTGAAAACATGTTTTTAGACATTTTAGCAAACTTATTGAAAATGAAATACAGAAACATCTCGTTTACATAAGTATTCACACTTCTGAGTCAATACTTTGTAGAAGCACCTTTGGCAGCGATTACAGCTGAGAGTCTTGCTGGGTAAGCCTCTAAGAGCGTTCCACACCTGGATTGTGCAACATTTGCCCATTTCTTCAAGCTCTGCCAAATTGGTTGTTGATCATTGCTAGACGACCATTTTCAGGTCTTGCCATAGATTTCCAAGTAGATTTAAGTCAAAAGTGTAACTCGGCCACTCAGGAACATTCACTTTCTTCTTGGTAAGCAACTCCAGTGTAGATTTGGCCTTGTGTTTTAGGTTATTGTCCTGCTGAAAGGTGAATTCATGTCTGCAAAGAAGGTGCCCTTCTTTGCGAGGCATTGGAAAACCTCACTGGTCTTTGTGGTTGAATCTGTGTTTGAAATTCACTGCTCGACTGAGGGACCTTACAGATAATTGTATGTGTGGGGTACAGAGATCAGGTTGTCATTCAAAAATTATGTTAAACACTATTGAGTCCATGCAACTTATGTGACTTGTTAAGCGCATTTTTACTCCTGAACATATTTAGCCATGCCTTAACAAAGGGGTTGAATACTTATTGACTCAAGACATTTCAGCTTTTCATTTTTAATTAATTTGTAAAAAATGTCAAAAAATATATTTCCATTATGGGGTATTGTGTGTAGGCCAGTGACAGAAAATCTAAATGTAATCAATTTTAAATTCAGGCAAAATGTTTAAAAAGTCAAGGGGTGTGAATACTTTCTGAAGGCACTGTACATGCGCACGCACATCCCACTTTAGGTCAACACAAACTCAATCCAAAAGTACTTGGCAAAAGCACGAAAGATGATATTGATAATCATTTCTACTGTTTAAGCAAAATCTCTGAAAATAAATTGTTCAACTTCAAGAAGACTGCTATATTTGATCCATTAGGATTTGTGTTATGACGGAGACATCCAGCAGAATGTGGTACATCGTGATCATACAGACCTATTCCTGTAGCTAACTTGATCTCCTCCAAGGTGAATTCCTCTCCTTCGTTGAACATGAGCAGCACTAGCGTCTGAAACAGGGACACCTGAAGCTCTTTTTTGCCCTATTTGGGAAACAAAAAAACAAGACAGGGATACGAAAAGTTAGTAAAACTAATTTCTGCCTAAACATACTACACTGAACAAAAATATAAAAGCAACATGTAGAGTGTTGGTCCCATGTTTCATGAGCTGAAATAAAATATCCCAGAAATGTTCCATATGCACAAAAATGTTATTTTGCAAAAATGTTTTTCAAATTTGTTTACATCCCTGTTAGTGAGCATTTATCCTTTGCCAAGATTATCCATCCACCTGACAGGTGTGGCATATCAAGAAGCTGATTAAACAGCATGATCATTACACAGGTGCACCTTGTGCTGGGGACAATAAAAGGCCACAAAAATTTGCAGTTGTGTCACACAGCACAATACCACAGATATCTCAGGTTTTGAGGTAGCATGCAATTGGAATGCTGACTGCAGGAAGGTCCACCAGAGCTGTTTCCAGATAACCAAATGTTATTTTCTCTACCATAAGCCACCTCTAACTTCGTTTTAGAGAATTTGGCAGTCCGTCCAACCGGCCTCACAGCCGCAGACCACGTGTAACCACGCCAGCCCAGGACCTCCACATCCGGCTTCTTCACCTGCGGGATCGTCTGAGACCAGCCACCCGATGAAACTGTGGGTTTGCACAACCGAAGAATTTCTACACAAACGGTCAGAAACCGTCTCAGGGAAGCTCATCTGCGTGCTCGTCGTCCTCACCAGGGTCTTGACCTGACTGCAGTTCGGCGTCATAACAGACTTCAGTGAGCAAATGCTCACCTTCGATGGCCATTGGCATGCTGGAGAAGTGTGCTCTTCACAGATGAATCCCGGTTTCAACTGTACCGGGGAGATGGCAGAGTGTTTATTGGGTTGTGTGTGTGAGCGGTTTGCTGATGTCAACGTTTTGTACAGAGTGCCCCATGGTGGCGGCGGGGTTATGGTATGGGCAGGCATAAGCTACGGACAACAAACACAATTGCATTTTATCGATGGCAATTTGAATGCACAGAGATACCGTGACGAGATCCTGAGGCCCATTGTCGTGCCATTCATCCGCCGCCATCACTTCATGTTTCAGCATAATAATGCACAGCCCCATGTCACAAGGATCTGTACACAATTCCTAGAAGCTGAAAATGTCCCAGTTCTTCCATGGCCTGCATACTCACCAGACATGTCACCCATTGAGCATGTTTGGTATGCTCTGGATCAATATGTACGACAGCGTGTTCCAGTTCCCGCCATTATCCAGCAACTTCGCACAGCCTTTGAAGAGGAGTGGGAAAACATTCCATAGGCCACAACCAACAGCCTGATCAACTCTATGCGAAGGAGATGTGTCGCACTGCATGATGCAAATGGTGGGCACACCAGATACTGACTGGTTTTCTGATCCACGCCCCTAACTTTTTCTTAAGTTATCTGTAACCAACAGATGCATATTTTATTCCCAGTCATGTTTCCTTATATGAACTGTAAATCAGTAAAACCTTTGAAATTGTTGCGTTTATATTTTTGTTCTGTGTAGATGACTGAAACATCATCGAAAAGACGGGTAGCTACCTCTTTAAATTCAGCTTTTAAAACACAATGGCCTAACGTCGACTGCCACTGTAGCTTCCTGCCGCTGTGCTTGCCCAGGTAAAACGTCTTGAAAATCTCCTGCAGTCGCACCATCTGGACAAGAGGGGCAGAAGTGTTAAACAATAAACATTGAGGACAGGGCTCTAAAGTGAGACCATTTTGATCGCATATGCTTCTAAATATTTTGCTGTGCGACCTGAAATGTTATTTTTGGATCACCAGTGTGCCTAGAAAAAGAAATCACCTAGATAATAATTGTTGTAATGATTAGGCTTTGCTGTACAGTTGTTTTTGAGTGCCATAGAGAAAAAAAACGAGCACAGATTCATTTTTTCTTCCTATCGTGGATTGACGGCCCGCATTTTACATTCAAATAAACCATGTTGCGGGCCGTTCCAAAACCACTCAAGGGCATTTGTATACACCTTGTTCAGTCATGTTGCTAGTTAACAACCTGGTTACTTTACCAGTATATCCAAACATTTGGGGGCACAGAAAGAAAGAAAAATGGGATAGCTTATTCAGGAGATCAATGATCATAGCAATGAATGAATGACTGATCTCTTGCATGTCATCACTCACAAAATTGACGCTCTTAAAGAAAGTGTACATTTTTCCATGTAATGCATGTCAATAGGTAGTGCTTTTACACTATATAGAAACCTAATATTCCACTAATGACTTTGTAATTTCAATGACAGATTTCTGTAGCAACATTTTAGCTTTTTATAATAAACCAATTCCCAATATAGTGTACTACTTTTGAGTCCTATGGGCCCTGGTCAGAAGTACTGCACTATAAAAGGGAACAGGGTACCATTTGGGATACAAACAAAATGTATTACATAGCAGGTCATAAAACACCAGAGAGCCTGAAGGGTTCGATATTTGCACTAACCTCTGCAGGCAGATGGACCTCCATTGGGATGTAGGTGGGCCAGTATCCCATGGTGAGGATGTTCACCGTCAGCTCAATGTTACCAGGGATGTTTTGACACTGCATGTAATAGAGAGAAAAAATAACAAAACATAATGTGAAAAATATAGGCTAATAATTCAAAAGTTATTTTGATGTGCAAGTACTGCCTCAACTACAAGATGCAATTTTGTATTTTTACATTTCTATAGCTGACTGCGTAATGTATTTGATACTTTTGCCAAAAAACGGAGATATCACTACAGATGATCATTCCTATTCCAGAAGCATATGTACGAACCTGTTTGAACTGCACCATGATGTCCTTGGAAAGCTCCATGTCCTTGAACATGCCTTCCAGCTTGCTGGTGAATGCTGCTCCACATTCTAAAGAAAGGACCATGGTTACGAGTCACTGGTCTCATTCAGTATCACATGCTTCATAGTTGTTGGTAAGAGTTCTATGTGTATAGTTAATAGTAGTAGCTAGTGGTGTGTTCTGATGTAGACAGTGGTGGGGGATTGTATGGGGCAGACCTGGGCTCAATACTATTAGAAATACTTATATTTTGAGTGTTTGATTGAGCCTGCCTCGAGTGTCAGACGGGTAGGGTTGGTTTTGCAATTTTGGGACTGTTCCATTGCATCAGTCAATCAAGCACAGCCATTTGATAGAACATGTATACTATTTGAACCCAGGTCTGATGGGGTACACTGGGGAACACACTGACCATGTTTCAGTTTCGACAGCATGGACTTCTCGGCATCCACGGAGGCACTCTTTCCCACCAGCAACCTCTTGGCCAGATCTTTCTTGTAGAAGGCCTCAAAAACATCTTTGCCTATTCAAGAATTCAAAAGTATAAAGTACAAGTACAAAGACAGACTTCTAAGAGACCTGTCAAAGAAGAGAGCATTAAAAGGACCTGGAAGTAGATGGTTGGCTGAATATACGGGACAACATTACCATAAATGAATATGTTGGGACGACATTACCATAAATGAATCGGAAGATGATCATGATCTTGTCCAACATCTTCTCCAGCTCCTCGTCCGTCGCCTCCTTGTTTCCCGCCCTAAGCTTCGAATCTACGTGTTTTGCTACAAAATATAACCATTTGTGTTGTTTTATTTACATTTTTGTAGTTTACTTATAAAAAGCTGGAAAATAATTTGTAGCTTAATAAGGTAGCTTTCAACTGACGGGAGCATAATACACACAAACATCTATGAATGAAGACAAGTTGAAAAGGTGAGCTCTCTTTCAGTCAGTTTACGTTGTAGTAGTATCATTATCATTTCTCCCATAGCGATAGCACTCGAACTTCCTTCATGGAACCGAAACGACATTCATAACAACATGATCATCATGCGATACCAACCTATGAGCTCAGCAGGTTTGTTTGGCCTCTTGTTGATGAAGGTCTCAAAGGCCTCCTTCATGGCATTGACAAACTTGTCGTTCTTTATGAAGCAGATGTCGATGATGTGGTCCACCTTGTCCTTGAAGTCCAGCAGCTCCTGTACCATGGTCTTGTCCTTCTCAGGGTTAATGACGATCGTACTTCCAAAGGCCTGTGAGAGGTTTGGTAGAGGTGTTAAGGCTCACTTCAGGTCATATACTGCACAAATTAATGATTCCATTTTTCGACTGGGAAGGAAGAAGGAAGTAACCCCACACTTCCAAAATGTTAATTAGTAAGAGTAAATGACTGATTCAGGGGTGGAATTGCTGACCTAAAGACTATTGGTCTTTTCAAGCATACCTTGATGTACTCGATCCAGTGCTGTAGGAGGACTAGCACGCCCCCTCTCACCCGACTGAACAGCTGATAGAGAAGAGACAAGTCCTGGATTCTGTTCTCATCTAGCAGGTGATTCAAGCCTGGAGATGGAAAAATAGCAGTTTAGTTCATGGTACTAAACAATAACAGTCTCTCTCTTATTATTTGAGGTCCTCGTGATAAGATGACAATAACATTGCTATTTTGACGCTGTTCAAATGTCACCGATTGTAAGTAAACAAAATGTCCCAGTGTGTCAAGTCTGTCGTTTCTGATATATACCTTTCTGCAGAGTTGCAGTGAGATGTTCACCCAGTAGTTGCTTTTCCACAGTGGCAATAAGAGGTTTTCTGAAGAAAGAAAAAGAAAAGGAGGGAGGAAATGAGTCATCAATCTGTCTCTTTTCATTCTTTATATGTAGACCGGTAGATCCCGTTGAGACCGGTGCCAAGAAGGCAGCAAATCAAACATGAATTGAGTCAAATGTAGAACTTAAAACAGAGGACAACAATACTCATGGACTCTTGAAGACTAACCCATTGTATCCTAAAAGCGATCCAATCAAGCAACAACAAAAAAAAAGACTCACTGTGTGCTCTGGTCTAGATACGTGATGACTCTGTCCGCTTCCTCCTCTAAGCGTTTGTTGACGTGATGGAGATACTCTGGGACCTGAAGAGACATTCAAGAAGTGATCAGATGAACCTATCCCAAATGCTTAGTCATTTGGGATACGAAGCCAAACAGCAGCCTATCCTTACAGGGGGAAACAAACATCTAGTGTGATGTAAAATCACTCCACATCAAATCACTCTAAAATAACAAAGTAGTTCAAATCTTTTTTACCAGCAGTAACTATAGTAACTGTAAGTTGACTCAAGACTCAAAATGCAAACAGACCTGGTCCCAGATCGGTTTGTGCTGTACAGCCAAACATTACATCTTCGTAAAATCAAAATTAAAGTTTAGATTTGCAGAAGATGTTATCGCAGGTGCAGCGAAAATGCTTATGTTTCTAGCGCCAACAGTGCAGTAATAGAAAGGTAACATGAAGATCATAGAAGTTAGCAATAGAGCAATAACAGGTCTTACCAACTCCTATGATCATTGTCAAGTTTGGCAGTACAATGTCATTTTTGGCTATACAGCACAAACAGATATGGGACCAGGCTATGAAAATGCTGCCTCCAGTCAGACTCAATCAGTGGTGTTACGCTGCCTGGAGGGATACATCACCTCCCTCTCCTGCATCAGCCTCTGTCCCTCGGCAGCATACAGCCGATTAGTCTCCTCCAGAAAGCGCTGCTCAAAGGAGTCCTGATAAATCTGTCAGGAGAGGGGAGAACATTTGGTGTCATTAAAGCCATTTCTCAAGTGGCGGAGCTGATAGCACATCAACTCAAACCCTGACACAGGTGCTGCTGATTGCAAATAACACAGCTGACAAACACCCCTTGCTTTGTCAGACTTTTATTAATGTTTAATTGACTTGCCTAGTTAAATAAAGTTAAAGAACAAATTCGTAGACACAGCAGTGTTGGAGATATCCTCCTTGTGACTGTTTGTATTACTGTCTGGGAGTATTGAATGTTGAGTAGTACAATGAATCGGAGCCAAAGAACCAATGGCATGGGTCCAGGATAAACCCCTTGCCACTTCATGCACATCTGGAAGAAATGACTAGCTATAAGCAACATATTTCCCTCTGCGCTAGGTCAATTCTTTGCCAGATTATATACCATATACCTACCCAATCCTTTCAGATCTACACAAGTGCTTAGTGGGTTAGGGGCTAAGGGGTGATTCTGGACCGGGCCAATAGAACAAGATATCCACTAAGTAGACTTTCCCATGTCCTGTGTGAAGGGGCAGAGCCATACCTGCAGGTCAGAGAGCATGCTCAGTAGGCTCCGGAGCAGGCTGCGGTCGATGGTCTCGCCGCCGCGCTCCCTCTCGATGAGCAGCAGGATGCCGTAGATGGTCTTGCTCTGGACCTTCATGTCACTGATTATGTAAAACCTAAACAACTCTAGGCCCATGTCCCTGAAGACAATAGGGGTGATATTAATATTAACCATAACCAATTACTATTGACATAATATGGCTAGAGATATGACATGATCAATGTTTTCTACACAGAATGTTTATTTGAGGAAGAGAAACTCACCAGATTGATGGGAGCATTGAATTTTGTAAAACATAGGTGCGGTCCAAGAACAAAAATATACTTCTAATCATGATCTGTAAAAATAAAATAAAAAAGACAAATAATATTAAGAATTTTAAGTAAAGAAATCATGTATAATCTCAATCAATCTCAATGACACCTATCAAATTACATCCTGCCAAAGACAGAGTCCTAAAGACATACCATTTGTCTGCAGTGATCTTGCCAACACTTGTCTATTTTCTTCAGGAAGAGCGTACTGTCCAGTACATCCGTGAGCACAGAGTCAAGGATGTAGCAGGTGTCATATGCATAACAACACAAAGCAGCAGCAGTGTCATTTCAGTACATAAAAGGACATGCATTCAAGTGGCACAGTGGTTTAAGGCATTGCATCTCAGTGCTTGAGGCGTCACTACAGATCCGGGTTCGATCCCAGGCTGTGTCACAACCGGCCGTGATCGGGAGACCCATAGGGCGGCGCACAATTGGCCCAGAGTCGTCCGGGTTAGGGGAGGGTTTGGCCGGGGGGGCTTTACGTGGCTCATCGCGCTCTAGCCATGCCTTGTGGCGGGCCGGGCGCCTGCAGGCTGACTTCGGTCGTCAGTTGAACAGTATTTCCTCCGACACATTGGTGCAGCTGACTTCCGGGTTAAGCGGGCGGGTGTTAAGAAGCGCGGTTTGGCGGGTCATGTTTCGGAGGACGCATGACTTGACCTTCGCCTCCCGAGCCCGTTGGGGAGTTGCAGCGATGAGACAAGATTGAAGTTGGGGAGAAAAAGGGGGTAAAATACCCAAAATAATAATAATTAATACAAAAAAAACAAAAAAACATGCATTCAATATCAAACTTTATAATGACATGATTTTAGTTCCTGTAGTTCAAATGACAAAAGCTATCCTCTAGTAAATACTTGAACAAAATAATTACTTATCATAATAGCCTACATTGAGTGATCAAGGACTGAACAATGTCTAAACATATATTGAACTGTGCTAAACATGTTATCTTTCTAGTACCATCTGTTTACACATAGAAAAGGATATTCTCTGAATTGATCGATTTGTGCCTTGATGTGGTCTTCACAAACCACCCGTAGCTGTTTGTAGAGCCTGGCAGATATCTTATGGGAGCAGAGGTTCTCGACAGCCTACACAACAAAAAGAAAGGATAGTGCTTGAAGAGTTTATTGCATTTTAGAGCTAAAACACTGATGATCTATGCATATCATATCTTATAGAAGACTACACTCACACCATATAATCTAAACATCCCATAACTCAACACAGCTATTAAATACTGCAGACATATCACGAGAATTATTGTCAAGCTCTTTCACAAGATACTGGCCTAAAGACATGGGGAAAAAAATAGGTTGTTTGTTTGGACTGTGTTTAGCTTACTGACTGCGAAATCATAGGGCTTGAATAAGAAGTCAAGGTCATGAAACTCACAGGGGAGGAGGAAGACTTCCCATCTGTGGCCAATCATAATAATATCCACAGGGTTGTATTCACCAGGGCACGAAGCATAAAACTTTTACAACATACAATGAAAACAGGCTATTCTTATTGGACAAGTCCAGGTTGTGCCACCCTGTTTCAGTTTGATTTCTTCTGTTTGGTGCCTAACGAACATGACCCACGGCTGTTCTGAAGGGAAATGAGGCAGGTGCAGAATTTTCTCATACCTGGTAGAGTTCCTCAAGATTGTACTTGATTGAAGTGCTGTTTTGAATGGCTTCGACCGCCTCCTTCAGTTTTTGCCAGGTCTCGTGTGTGTAGTTCTCTGGCAATTTGGGTTTTTCTGTGAAGAAAAGTAGAGGGAAACAGTGTGAGAACGGTCATTCTCTCGTGTGTCATTTCAACTGTACTAAAGTTACTTTAACACAGAATTAGTATAAGACAACATATCTAACTATAACAATATTCAAACAAATGAGCTGCATCATGTCAGGTATTTAAATAGTGTATTATTGTGGATTTTACTGACTCACATATTCAACATTAAAATTGCATAGCTAGATTTCCCAGACTAAAGCAGATATCATTTTAGGCAAAGTAATTAACACAATTTTAGAATAAACTTTCACTAGAAGGGACAAAAGGGAATACAGCATGCATCACTTTAATGTTTTGAATAAACTACCTTTGAAGTTCTTGATGACTAGTTTCTTTGCAGCTCCAGGTTTGCTGTTGGAGAAGGTAGTGGAGCCTGCAGTTTTCGTCAGCCCGTTTGCATGATGCCCAACAACCCCAGCCAAAAAAACAGTTTTCGTCTTGTTAGAAGAACACGATGCAGATGAAGACGACTCCTCAGCCATTTTCACATCCAATCCAATGAAATCTACTGAATCTTCGAACCTCAATTTCTTCTGGATTTGTTGCGATGTGGAGGAAGAAGAGGAATTGTTGGTTTTAGGAGATGAAGATATTGAATCAATGTCTTCCCTCTCAGAACGGTTTATTTTCCTCTTCTTCGAATTCGTGATACTAGTGCTGTCGTTATTTACATCTGAAGCTGCTGGTCTAGCATCTTGGGTTGGCGGTGGGGGATTAGGGGAAGGTAAACCTGTTGGAAACATGAACAAATTATAATATAGCCAGTCTCCTAATCATAAACCTCCAGGTGTGCCGTGGGTGAACGAGTTGTGTTTCAAAGCTTTATCTTGCTATATTCCAAAAGATTAATCCGGTCTTTTACAAGTAGCCAAGAAACATACAATAAATTGTAAACTACAGCCACACTAGATCCTCTCTTTTCTTGTTATGGTTGCTGCTAGCAGAAGAAAGATGGTTGATTACTGCTTCTTCTTGTCTTGGCCTCTCTCGAATATCCACGTTGTGGAGCTGTACTTAGTTTTATCGGTAACTAATATAGTATGTTATTTCTAGGCCAAATATTGAATGTATTAAATGGAAATAAAATAACAACTGAAAAGTTCAGTATCAAAACGTACCTTCTACAAGCGATTCCATGACCTACAGGAAGTACTTTACCCCACATGTTACTGCTGCAAAAGTGGCTTTGCTAGTTAGCAAGCGTTCTTTAGCTGCTCACTGTCATTTGCCGCGAGATGGCGCCAGAGACGGTGTAAATTCATCACCGTGTAGTAAAATCTCTCAAAACACAGATGTATTTCTGTCATGGTCTAATAATGTGTTTTAATGTCTAATGTTTAGGTTATATTTTCAACGTATAGAAAGGACATTGAAAGGATAGAAGGAAATTAGGAAGAGGGGACGAAGGACACATCTTAAATACTCTGTGCCATCGGTTCGGGGATCATAGCTAGAAGGGATCCAGCTTTTGTCAAATGAACGCCAGAAGTTGACATTTTTAGCAGTTTAGCTAACCCTAACTCTGTTCCTAACCTTAACCTAATTCTCCTAACCTGTTACATTCATTCTCCTAACCTGCTGCGACAAATCTAACGAATTTGACAAAGCTGAAACAAAGATTTTGTATAACTAAACCAAGATAGACCACAGCCTGTCGTTTCCAATCCGAACAAATGAGTCAGTGGGCAGAACAAGCAAGGAGGAGGGCAGAGCCAAGCACGAGCTAGCGAGATTCTATTAGCCCGTTCTAGCATATATCTGTATATATTTCCGTTAGGGAACGCCTACTCTGTGAAGTGCGCGTGTGCAATAACTCAATTCGCCTTTGCACTTCTAAACAAAGATAATTTTTTACAAGTCTACTCTGTTCATAACCTAGTTTTGTGAACAGAAAACTGTACTGAGATCAAATGTTTCATCAATGAGAAAATGTGCAGAATGTCGGTCAAAATCCATCTCCTTTCATCTTCTCCCACTGCCAGCCACTCTAACTACCATATTTCCTCTCACTGTGGAAACGCCAAGCGGATGCTTCACATTTATACATCCGGTGAAATATCTGTCTCATTGTTCTATCTGTGGCTGGATCCCTTCTAGCCAGGACCCGGTTGGGTTCGGCGCCTGCCGTATTTCGCTCGAAACTGTCGAATGTATGTCGCAAGCTGACGTCACTTTTATTGGATTTTTGTTTATCAAACATCAATAAAATAATAGATTATAGAGAAGAACACAGTGAGCGCGACCCAACTAGGATGTTTAAAAAGTAGGTATTATGCATGATTTCCCTAACTAGCTAGCATCGTTACCATTGGGGCTGGCCCCAATCCCAAACATCAGATGGCTAGCTAGATAGTTAAGCAGATCAAATGTTATTGGTCACATACACATATTTAGCTAGCTACTAACTGTACGTCGCTCTGGATAAGAGCGTCTGCTAAATGACTAAAATGTAAAATGTAAATAAGCTAGTTGTGTGTGTGCACAACAACACCCACCAATTGAGCACTATACTCAAATGTCATGTTGACAGTTTGTGGTTTACGTTAAAGCTGGCCATGTAATTAGCTAAACAAATACCGAGTTTAGGCTAACTAACTACACGACCAGGCAGCTTGGTAGCTAGCTAACTAGTCAATGTTGTTAGTCTTCCAAGAATACATTTCAAATGATAACTCTTGATTAGCTTTCAGTTGAGTGAAGAGTCAAGCTGACATGAATGTTTCCATTTTCTCATTTCAGATTTGATGAGAAGGAAAATGTTTCCAACTGTATTCAACTGAAGACCTCGGTAATCAAAGGCATCAAAAACCAGCTGTTGGACCAGTTTTCAGACATTGAGTCATGGCTCAACCATATCATGCCAAAAAAGGACCCTGTCAAAATAGTGAGATGGTAAGTCAAGAAGATAACATTTTCTTCCCTTCTCAGTGGCTGTGTTCGAGATCATCAAATCCATTATGTATTGTGGGTAAATGCTGACTGACTGATCTACAAATAAATGTAGTTATTTGATGCAAGGTTGATCAGCCAGTCGGCAGTCGCCTGCACTGTTGGCTGCAATTTCGAACAAGGCCATTGTTTTTGGATATTTATTGATCCCGGTTAACCAAGAAATAAAATCTTGCATAATTTGTCAGTCCACAAGATATCAGATATTTGTTGACATCAGTTTGACTAGCCCAAGATGGGCTGTTAAGGAGTGTAGGCTAGTCTACTCCTTACGGTCCAAGGCGCTTATAAGTTATATCCAGTGACGAACTGGCTCTGGCAGCCAAAACAGTCCGAAACTCCATCTCAACGTGAATGGATTCTCAATTGTGATACGGTTCTGGAAGCATAAGGCCCTCTACTTTCATATCATATCATGGTGGTCCTCTGTAGCTCAGCTGGTAGAGCACGGCGCTTGTAACGCCAAGGTAGTGGGTTCGATCCCCGGGACCACCCATACACAAAAATGTATGCACGCATGACTGTAAGTCGCTTTGGATAAAAGCGTCTGCTAAATGGCATATTAATTAATATTAATATCAAAATAATTGTACAAAGAAAAAACGTATACTTGCTGTACACAGTTTTAACACAGTTGCAGCCGATAACACTTTTCTAGCTTCCTTCTTCTGTTATACACAGGTGTTTGGAGACGCTGGATAGCTAATTAGCAACAGGTGGTCACCTTTCTCTCCCATAAACAAGCCTGAGAGTTGGAATAACATGGAAATCTGACCGTGTGGGATCAGTGTTAAAAAGGTTTATAGTAATTCAACTTTTTGTGTTTTTTATCGATGATATGAAAGTAAAGTTCCAAAGGTTTACAAAACCATATCGCAAGTAATATTAACGTTTAGACAGAGCGTTGGGACTGTTGTACACATTGGCCGTGCCGCATTGCATGCTTCGGTTGAGAACCCAAGAGGTCTGGGTATAGCCCCCCTTGGGTGAACGAGAGCAACTGTTTGACATGTTTTGTGTTCCATCATCCAACCTGCAGCCATGAACACATTGAAATCTTGACAGTGAATGGAGAATTGCTCTTCTTCAGACAAAGAGAAGGACCGTTCTACCCAACTCTCCGACTGCTGCATAAGTGTAAGACCTCTGCTCTTTTTGATGGGCAGGGACTGTGTCTGTTGAATTACTATGGGGTATATCCATTTGAAGTCAATCACTTTTTGACAGCACCCCTTTTGATTTGAACAAAACTTTCCATACATATTTGCCCATTGTAGAAGTGCTCAGAAAGTGACTTTTTGCCAAAATGTTGACTTGAATGGGAATATCTGTTGTTTTAAATTATACTGTCAGTCCTCCATAGGAAACCTATTGAAATCATAGAAATATAGATCATAGAATAGACATGACCATTTAAGTTGATATTTGACGGTGGGTGGACCCGCGACCATCTTTATGGTAGTAATTAGAAGTTAAAATGTCAAATCAATTGACATTTCAATGGTGTACCAGCTAAATTGCAGTGGTCTGAAGGGATAGGTCCATTCAGTTAATTATATTTATGTTTATGAAATGCACATTGTTATATTTGCTAACACATTTTCCTTGACTCCAACCCCATTCGATGCGCTGGACATACAGTTGAAGTCAGAAGTTTGCATACACCTTTAAACTCAGTTTTTCACAATTCCTGACATTTAGGTCAGTTAGGATCACCACTTTATTTTAAGAATGTGAAATGTCAGAATAATAGTAGAGAGAGTGATTTATTTCAGCTTTTATTTATTTCATCACATTCCCAGTGGGTCAGAAGTTTACATACACTCAATAGTATTTGGTAGCATTACCTTTAAATTGTTTAACTTGGGTCAAATGTTTCGGGTAGCCTTCCACAAGCTTCCCACAATAAGTTGGGTGAATTTTGGCCCATTCCTCCTGACAGAGCTGGTGTAACTGAGACAGGTTTGTAGGCCTCCTTGCTCACACACGCTTTTTCAGTTCTGCTCACAAATGTTCTATAGGATTGAGGTCAGGGCTTTGTGATGGCCACTCCAATACCTTGACTTTGTTGTCCTTAAGCCATTTTGCCACAACTTTGGAAGTATGCTTGGGGTCATTGTCCATTTGGAAGACCCATTTGCGACCAAGCTTTAACTTCCTGACTGATGTCTTGAGATGTTGCTTCAATATATCCACATAATTTTCCTTCCTCATGATGCGATCTATTTTGTGAAGTGCACCAGTCCCTCCTGCAGCAAAGCAACCCCACAGCATTATGCTGCCACCCCCGTGCTTCACGGTTGGGATGGTGTTCTTCGGCTTGCAAGCGACCCCCTTTTTCCTCCAAACATAATGATGGTCAGTATGGCCAAACAGTTCTATTTTTATTTCATCAGACCAGAAGACATTTCTACAAAAAGTACAATCTTTGTCCCCATGTGCAGTTGCAAACCGTAGTCTGGCTTTTGTATGGCGGTTTTGGAGCAGTGGCTTCTTCCTTGCTGAGCGGCCTTTCAGGTTATGTCGATATAGGACTCGTTTTACTGTGGATATAGATACTTTTGTACCTGTTTCCTCCAGCATCTTCACAAGGTCCTTTGCTGTTGTTGTAGGATTAATTTGCACTTTTCTTACCAAAGTATGTTCATCTCTAGGAGACAGAACGCGTCTCCTTCCTGAGCGTTATGACGGCTGCGTGTTCCCATGATGTTTATACTTGCGTAGTATTGTTTGTAGAGATGAACGTGGTACCATCAGGCGTTTGGAAATTGCTCCCAAGGATGAACCAGACCTGTGGAGGTCTACATTTTTTTTCTTCTGAGGTCTTGGCTGATTTCTTTTGATTTTCCCATGATGTCAAGCAAAGAGGCACTGAGTTTGAAGGTAGGCCTTGAAATACATCAACTGGTACACCTCCAATTGACTGAAATGATGTCAATTAGCCTATCAGAAGCTTCTAAAGCCATGACATCATCTTTTGGAATTTTCCAAGCTGTTTAAAGGCACAGTCAACTTAGTGTATGTAATCTTCTGACCCACTGGAATTGTGATACAGTGAATTATAAGTTAAATAATATGTCTGTAAACAATTGTTGGAAAAATTACGTGTCATGTACAAAGTAGATGTCCTAACTGACTTGGCAAAACTATAGTTTGTTAACAAGAAATTTGTGGAGTAGTTGAAAAACAAGTTTTAATGACTCCAACCTAAGTGTATGTAAACTTCCGACTTCAACTGAATGTGGGTGGAGCAATGTCTACATAAGGGTGCAAATTAAACTCACCAAAGCTCTGACGAAGGCCTTGAGGCCGATACGTGAAGTTTAATAAAGAACAGTGATACTAGCAAGAGCAGCATGCAGGTTTCTATTTTATCTCTTATTATTGAAATGACACCCACCCTGTATTCAACTGCATGTTGTGTCTCAACCGAGGGCTGGCAAAACACAAAAATCTCAGGTTATGTTAGGGTAGGCTAACATCAAAGTGGTGACCTGATCCTGCAGGTTCATGCTCTACAACATACGCAGAGTACGACCCTACCTTACACAGAAAGCGGCACAGGTCCTAATCCAGGCACTTGTCATCTCCCGTCTGGATTACTGCAACTCGCTGTTGGCTGGGCTCCCTGCCTGTGCCATTAAACCCCTACAATTTATCCAGAACGCTGCAGCCGTCTGGTGTTCAACCTTCCCAAGTTCGCTCATGTCACCCTGCTCCTCTGCACACTCCACTGGCTTCCAGTTGAGGCTAGCATCTACTACAAGACCATGGTGCTTGCCTACGGCGCTGTGAGGGGAACGGCACCTCCTTACCTTCAGGCTCTGATCAGACCCTACACCCAAACAAGGGCACTACGTTCATCCACCTCTGGCCTGCTAGCCCCCATACCTCTACGGAAGCACAGTTCCCGCTCAGCCCAGTCAAAGCTATTCGCTGCTATGGCACCCCAATGGTGGAACAAGCTCCCCCTCGACGCCAGGACAGCGGAGTCACTGACCACCTTCCGGAGACACTTGAAAACCCTACCTCTTTAAGGAATACCTGGAATAGTATAAAAGTAATCCTTCTACCCCCCCCCCCCCCCCCCACATAAAAAAAAAAGTGGTTGTCCCACTGGCTATCATAAGTTGAATGCACCAATTTGTAAGTCGCTCTGGATAAGAGCGTCTGCTAAATGACGTAAATGTAAATGGTAGGGTTTAAGCTACAACACATGCGAATATGTACAAAATAGGAGTTTACCTGTTTTTAGATCATTCGTGTTCAAGGTTAGAAAATGTCAATTTCTGTGATATATATTTTTTTTCAAGAAATTATAAAATAGTTTGACAACCTTGTTTTCTAAGCTTTTAAATGTTATCAAACTCGACCATTGATCTTTTCCAGTGATGAAGACATGGATGTCTCATGGTAAGGTGAGGTATGCAAAATGGGTCAACTTTGAGCACCTTTATCTCAAATAAAATAAAATAAAAATGTATATGCCACATGCGCCGAATACAACAGTTGTAGACATTACCGTGAAATGCTTAATTACAGCCCTTAACCAACAATGCATTTATTTTAAAAAAAAAAAGTAAAATAAAAACGACAACAAAAAAGTGTTGAGGGGAAAAAAAGAGCAGAAGTAAAATAAAACAACAGTAGGGAGGCTATATACAGGGGGGTACCGGTGCAGAGTCAATGTGCGGGGGCACCGGCTAGTTGAGGTAATATGTACATGTGGGTAGAGTTAAAGGGACTATGGATAAATAATTAACAGTAGCAGCAGCGTAAAAAGATGGGGTGGGGGGGCAGTGCAAATAGCCATGATTAGCTGTTCAGGAGTCTTATGGCTTGGGGGTAGAAGCTGTTGAGAAGCCCTTTGGACCTAGACTTGGCGCTCCGGTACCGCTTGCCGTGCAGTAGCAGAGAGAACAGTCTATGACTAGGGTGGCTGGAGTCTGTGCCAATTTTGAAGGCCTTCCTCTGACACCGCCTGGTATAGAGGTCCTGGATGGCAGGAAGCTTGGCCCCAGTGATGTACTGGGCCGTACACACTACCCTCTGTAGTGCCTTGCGGTCGGAGGCCGAGCAGCAGCCATACTAGGCGGTGATGCAACCAGTCAGGATGCTCTCGACGGTGCAGCTGTATAACCTTTTGAGGATCTGAGGACCCATGCCAAATCTTTTCAGTCTCCTGAGGGGGAATAGGCTTTGTCGTGCCCTCTTCACGACTGTCTTGGTGTGTTTGGACCATGATAGTTTCGTTGGTGATGTGGACACCAAGGAACTTGAAGCTCTCAACCTGTTCCACTACAGCCCCGTCGATGCTCAGTCCTCTTTTTTTCTGTGTAGTCCACAATAATCTCCTTTGTCTTGGTCACGTTGAGGGAGAGGTTGTTATCCTTGGCACCACACGGCCAGGTCTCTGACCTCCTCCCTATAGGCTGTCTCATCGTTGTCGGTGATCAGGCCTACCACTGTTGTGTCGTTGGCAAACTTAATGATGGTGTTGGAGTCGTGCCTGGCCATGCAGTCATGGGTGAACAGGGAGTACAGGAGGGGACTGAGCACGCACCCCTGAGGGGCCCCCGTGTTGAGGATCAGCGTGACAGATGTGTTGTTACCTACCCTTACCACCTGGGGGCGGCCCGTCAGGAAGTCCAGGATACAGTTGCAGAGGGAGGTGTTTAATCCCAGGATCCTTAGCTTAGTGATGAGCTTTGAGGGCACTATGGTGTTGAACGCTGAGCTGTAGTCAATGAATAGCATTCTCACGTAGATGTTCCTCTTGTCCAGGTGGGAAAGGGCAGTGTGGAGTGCAATAGAGATTGCATCATCTGTGGATCTGTTGGGGCGGTATGCAAATTGGAGTGGGTCTAGGGTTTCTGGGATAATGGTGTTGATGTGAGCCATGACCAGCCTTTCAAAGCACTTCATGGCTACAGACGTCAGTGCTACGGGTCGGTAGTCATTTAGGCAGGTTATCTTAGTGTCCTTGGGCACGGGGAACTATGGTGGTCTGCTTGAAACATGTTGGTATTACAGACTCAGTTAGGGACATGTTGAAAATGTCAGTGAAGACACTTGCCAGTTGGTCAGCACATGCTCGGAGTACACGTCCTGGTAATCCGTCTGGCCCTGCGGCCTTGTGAATGTTGACCTGCTTAAAAGTCTTACTCACATCGGCTACGGAGAGCGTGATCACATATTCATCCGGAACAGCTGGTGCTCTCATACATGCTTCAGTGTTGCTTGCCTCGAAGCGAGCATAGAAGTGGTTTAGCTCCTCTGGTAGGCTTGTGTCACTGGGCAGCTCGCGGCTGTGCTTCCCTTAGTAGTCTGTAATCGTTTTCAAGCCCTGCCACATCCGATGAGCGTCAGAGCCGGTGTAGTACGATTCAATCGTAGTCCTGTATTGACTCTTTGCCTGTTTGATGGTTTGTCTGAGGGCATAGCGGGATTTCTTATAAGCGTCCGGGTTAGAGTCTCGCTCCTTGAAAGCGGCAGCTCTACCCTTTAGCTCAGTGCGGATGTTGCCTGTAATCCATGGCTTCTGGTTAGGGTATGTACATACGGTCACTGTGGGGATGACGTCATCGATGCACTTATTGATGAAAACAGTGGCTGATGTGGTGTACTCCTCAATGCTATCTGAAGAATCCCGGAACATGTTCCAGTCTGTGCTAGCAAAACAGTCCTGTAGCTTAGCATCTGCGTCATCTGACCACTTTTTTATTAACTGAGTCACCGGTGCTTCCTGCTTTAGTTTTTGCTTATAAGCAGGAATCAGGAGGGCGAGGGAGAGCTTTTTATTCGTCTCTCTGTGTGGAGTAAAGGTGGTCTAGAGTTTTTTTTTCCTCTGGTTGCACATTTAACATGCTGGTAGAAATTTGGTAGAATGGATTTAAGTTTCCCTGCATTAAAGTCTCCGGCCACTAGGAGCGCTGCCTCTGGATGAGCGTTTTCCTGTTTACCTATGGCCTTATACAGCTCGTTGAGTGCAATCTTAATGCCAGCATTGGTTTGTGGTGGTAAATAGACATCTATGAAAAATATAGATGAAAACTCTCTTGGTAAATAGTGTGGTCTACAGCTTATCATAAGAGGCTCTATTTCAGGCGAGCAAAACCTCGAGACTTCCTTAATGTTTTGGCATTTAGGTCTAAAAGTCACTTTCTGACCACATCTTCCATGGCCAAACATGTATTGAACGTTTTGATTAAATCAAAAGGGAAGGCTGTCAAAAGGTGATTCAATTCAAATGGATTTACTTATGTGCTTTGTGTACTTGTACTGTTTGGTAAGTTGCTTTTTCGCTCTGTTCGTATTTTACAGACCCCTTTATTCTTCCACACCAACAAGTAGACAAAGGGGCCATCAAGTTTGTCTTAAGTGGAGCCAATATCATGTGCCCTGGATTGACGTCCCCAGGCGCCAAACTCTATCCTTCTGCCTCAGAAACAGTAGTTGTATCCTTCCTTTGACCGATATGCTGATCATGTACAATGCCTTCAGAAAGTATTCATACACCTTGATTTATTCCACATTTTGTGTTACAGCCTGAATTCAAAATGGATTAAATACTTTTTTCTCACACCCATCTACACACAATATCCCATAATGACAAAGTGAAAACATGTTTAGACATTTTTGCAAATGTATTGAAAATGAAATGGAGAAATATCTAATTTACGTAAGTATTCATACCCCTGAGTCAATACATGTTAGAATCACCTTTGGCAGTGATTACAGCTGTGAGTTTTTCTGGGTAAGTCTCTAAGAGCTTTGCACACCTGGATTGTTCAATATTTGCACATTTATTCTGAAAAAAATAATTCAAGCTCTGTCAAGTTGGTTGTTGATCATTGCTAGACACCCATTTAAGTCTTACCATAGATTTAAGTCAAAATTGTAACTAGGCCACTCAATGTCATCTTGGTAAGCAACTCCAGTGTATATTTGGCTTGTGTTTTAGGTTATTGTCCTGCTGAAAGGTGAATTTTGTCACCCAGTGTCTGTTGGAAAGCAGACTGAACCAGGTTTTCCGCTAGGATTTTGCATGTGCTTAGCTATATTCCATTTATTTGTATCCAAATAAACTCCATTGTCCTTGCCGATTACAAGCATACCCATAACATGATGCAGCCACCACGATGCTTGAAAATATGAAGAGTGGTACTCAGTGACGTGTTGGATTTGCCCCAAACTTAATGCTTTGTATTCAGGACATAAAGTACATTTCTTTGCATTTTTTGTTGTTGCAGTTTTACTTCAGTGACTTATGCAAACAGGACGTATGTTTTGGAATATTTTTATTCTGTACAGGCTTAATTATTTTCACTCTGTCATTTAGGTTAGTATTGTGGAGTAACTACAATGTTGTTGATCCATCTTCAGTTTTCTCCTATCACAGCCATTAAACTCTGTAATTGTTTTACAGTCACCATTGGCCTCGTGTGTAGGCCAGTGACACAATCTCAATTTAATCGATTTTAAATTGAGGCTGTAACACAACTAAATATGGAAAAAGTCAAGGGGGTGTGAATACTTTCTGAAGGCACTGTTTGTTCAGTACAACGTCTTACTGGGCCCGTATTCTCAAAGTGTCTAATAGTAAAAGTGGTTATTTAGGATCAGGCCCCGTCCATGTAATCATATTCATTATGGTCATGATGATGCTTTCAGAAACTCAGGGGTCAGAGTTCCAGAGTTGGAAATAGCTTACTAATAGATCGGCCCTCAATAAGTCTGCGTTCCAAGTGGAAAACTCAGACCAGAATGTTGATACCCAAGTTTACGAGTTGTGACGTTTCATCACTGACCTTCTAACTCTCTAACCAAATGATTGTAAAACAAAGCCATTTACAATGCAGTTTGACCCATATGGTCTACAGTGTGTTCAGAAAGTATTCAGACCCCTTCCCTTTTTCCACATTTTGTTACGTTACAGCCTTATAATGACAAAGTGAAAATATTGTTTTATTTTTGTGCAAATTTATAACAAATAAAAATACAGATACCTTATATACGTAAGTATTCAGACCCTTTGCAATTAGACTTGAAATTGAGCTCAGGTGCATCCTGTTTCCATTGATCATCCTTGAGATCTTTCTACAACTTGATTGGAGTCCACCTGTGGTAAATACAATTGATTGGACATGATTTGGAAAGGCACACACCTGTCTATATAAGTTCCCACAGTTGACAGTGCATGTCAGAGCAAAAACCAAGCCATGATGTCGAAGGAATTGTCCATAGAGCTCTGAGACAGGATTGTGTCAAGGCATAGATCTGGGGAAGTGTACCAAAACATTTCTACAGTATTGAAGGTCTCCAAGAACACAGTGGCCTCCATCATTCTTAAATGGAAACGTTTTGTAACCACCAAGACTCTTCCTAGAGCTGGCCGCCTGGCCAAACTGAGCAATCGGGGGAGGAGGGCCTTGGTCAGGGAGGTGACCAAGAACCTGATGGTCACTCTGACAGAGCTCCAGAGTTCCTCTGTGGCCAGAGGGAAGCCACTCCTCAGTAAAAGGAACATGACAGCTCGCTTGGAGTTTGCCAAAAGGCACGTAAAGGACTCTCAGACCATGAGAAACAAGATTCTCTGGTCTGATGAAACCAAGATTGAACTGTCTGGAGGAAACCTGGCACCATCCCTACGGTGAAGCATGGTGGTGGCAGCATCATGCTGTGGGGATGTTTTTCAGCGGTAGGGACTGGGAGACTAGTAAGGATCGAGGGAAAGATGAACGGAGCAAAGTACAGAGAGATCCTTGATGAAAGCCTGCTCCAGAGCACTCACGACCTCAGACTGGGGCGAAGGTTCACCTTCCAACAGGACAACGACCCTAAGCACACAGCCAAGACAATGCAGGAGTGGCTTCGGGACAAGTCTCTGAATGTCCTAGAGTGGCCCAGCCAGAGCCTGGACATGAACCCGATCAAACATCTCAGGAGAGACCTGAAAATAGCTGCGCAGAGATGCTCCCCATCCAACCTGACAGAGCTTGAGAGGATCTGCAGAGAAGAACGGGAGAAACTCCCCAAATACAGGTGTGTCAAACTTGTAGCGTCATACCCAAGAACATTTTCACAAATGTCTAAAAACCTGTTTTTGCTTTGTCATTATGGGGTATTGTGTGAGCATTGAAAAGGGAAGGGAAAACTGTTCTGACTTCAAAAGCACTCGAATGCATTCATGTCTTAGCTATGACTCACCAACTGGGAGCTAACGAGTTCCTGAGAACCTTCCAAATGCACCATTATGTCTGCCTGTAATTGTCATACACTAACATTGGTGTTTTGACACTTCCGGTCAGTATCAAGTGCATGTGAGTTGGTGTTTCCTTGACAATTCGTTTCAGGCCATAATGGCGGAGGGCAAGCAACAGGCGCTTTGTGTCGGAGTCATGAAGATGTCTGCAGAAAATATGTAATTATCACATGATTTTTCCTATTTACACCACAGAAATGTACTTGTACACATACACTACATCACCAAAAGTATGTGGACACCCCTTCAAATTAGTGGATTCGGGTATTTCAGCCACACCCGTTGCTGACAGGTGTATTAAATGGAGCACACAGCCATGCAATCTCCATAGACAAACATTGGCAGTAGAATGGCCTTTTTGAAGAGCTCAGTGACTTTCAATGTGGCACCGTCATAGGATGCCTCCTTTCCAACAAGTCAGTTTGTCAAATTTCTGCCCTGCTAGAGCGGCCCAGTCAACTGTAAGTGCTGTTATTGTAAAGTGGAAACGTCTAGGAGCAACAACGGTTCAGCCGTGAAGTGGTAGGCCACACAAGCTCACAGAACGGGACCGCCGAGTGCTGAAGCGCGTAAAAATCGTCTGGCCTCGATTGCAACACTCACTACCGAGTTCCAAACTGCCTCAGGAAGCAACGTCAGTCCGACGGACGAATCTGGGTTTGACGGATGCCAGGAGAACGCTACCTGCCCAAATGCATAGTGCCAACTGTAAAGTTTGGTGGAGGAGGAATAATGGTCTGGGGCTGTTTTTCATGGTTCGGGCTAGGCCCCTTAGTTCCAGTGAAGGGAAATCTTAACGCTACAGCATACAATGACATTCTAGATGATTCTGTGCTTCCAACTTTGTGGCAACAGTTTGAGGAAGCCCCTTTCCCGTTTCAGCATGACAATGGCCGTGTACAATGCGAGGTCCATACGGAAATGGTTTGTCGAGAACTTGTCGCCCAACATCAGTGCCCGACCTCACTAATGCTCTTGTGGCTGAATGGAACCAAGTCCCCAAAGCAATGTTCCAACATGTAGTGGAAAGCTTCCCAGAAGAGTGGAGGCTGTTATAGCTAATGTTCCCTCTAAGCTGCGTGTGCAGCTCCTCCGGGACTGCAGCACAGAAATGTCAGCCCACAGAGAGAATCGCGAGATTGAATAAAATAAAATAGGAATAAAATAGGAACAAGGCTTTATCATTGTTGCTTTTTACAGAAATGTTTGGCGAAAGACTAGGAATGCCTTGGAGATCGACCAGTCTATCTTGATCGACCAGTTGGTGACCACTCCTCTAGAAAGTTGGTCAGTCTCCCAGTCCCTACTAGTTTGTCAGAGGAGTGGTCACCAACTGGTCGATCAAGATAGACTGGTCGATCTCCAAGGCATTCCTAGTCTTTCGCCAAACATTTCTGTAAAAAGCAACAATGATAAAGCCTTGTGTTCCTATTTTATTCTATTCGTCTCTGGCTGTTGGTGGTAGGCGCACCCGATTCAGCTGCCCTGCGCACTGGGTAGACGAACTGTTGCCATTTGGAACCATTTAATGTGTCTGAAGGTACAAACTCTGCCTTCCCGGCGGACCTTGAGAGCAAATTAAGTGCACTATAGGCCTACCGCTGTCCAATCGGCTGGCTCAAATGACTGTGTCTGCACTAAGGTAGCAGGCATAAAAGAAAGCTACAGCAAAGTTGATACGGTGAGATTTCAAAACGTTTAAAACCATGACTAGAGAGAGACTGTCAACGAATACAGCAAAGAGATGCTTATTTTATGAGGGAGTTCATGTTTAACTTCTTACTCATTACTGTTATAAAATGTGCGCTTTTCCTATTTCCACTCAGCACTAAAACCAATATTGAATATTGAGGAATATTTAACTTTCTCTGTTCATAGGAGTAATAACATGAATTTGTGCATGAGGCAGAAATAATGTGGTGTGACTCGAGTTTCGCCATCATCTGGAAGAGGCTGTCCCTTTTTGGTCGGTATCAGTGGAGGAAAGGGAGAGCGGAGGGATGTTGAAAGGTGGACCCTTAGTCTGCTGCGCTCTCCCTCCGTTGAGACTGACCATGAGATGCAGGCACCATCAGCCCAGTAAAATAAAAAGCAAATTATTTAAATGTATGCTCATTCAGCTGTGCTTCACAAGTAATACAACAACGGATCTATTACCAGTGTGATCATATAGCCTACCTCAAATTTAGAAATGTAATTGAAAAAAATTGCCTGAACAACAATGCATTGGCAGGGCAATTCTTGCATCAAACAGCACAACATTTTCAGTCACCTGCACTGCATGTTTTTTTTCTTCTCAAAAGTCTCATGGAATGTAAACCTGCATTGAACACCCACACATTGGCTGCTACTGTAGGCTGAATGATAGAACAGCTATGTCCATGTTAAAATGTTATGGGATGCATGTTCTCAATTGTTTTTGATGGTAGGCCACTCTGGTAGGCCTACATTATGATCAAATAGCCACAGTAGCCTGCATGGCCACTGTTAAAACAGTCACTTAAAGCGGGTACACCCTCAGTGTTCACAGTAAACACGTGCTGGAAGTTGCATTGAATTTTCACAACTGTAAGTTTGGGCTCAGCAGACCTGAAATTAGCTCAATACCGAAATCTTTTTGAGGGAACATTGGTTATAGCAGCAAAGGGGGGGACCAACTTCATATTAATGCCCATGATTTTAGAATGAGATGTTCGAAAAGCAGGTGTCCACATACTTTTGGTCACGTGTACTTGTATATACTACTGTACGCGTATAAACTTTCCTGACGCTCATTCCGCTTCACTTTTTGTGAACAGAGAGAAAGTCAACAAGGGAGTAGGAGTTGAAAATGTTCATTATCTTAATGACGGACTGTGGCACATGAAGATGTATAAGTGAGATGTCGTTACCCAACCCCCTGGACCACATGGAGCTCTTGACAGCGAGGCTGCCAGTCAATTGTTTACACCAATGGACTTCGTTGTGTAACTAGCTGGAGGCTATGAACCAATCTAATTGATGCACAAATAAAAACCTGCATTAAAGTTATTTTCCATTCTTTTGCACTGCCTTTACATTTCATGGTTTCTTTGCTAAAGTCGTTGGGACTCACTTGCTACCAGGAGAAAAACATCTGAAATGGATTGTAGATCATAGTACCATGTATATGCTGTTACATGTATTTATGACATTAAATCAATAAAGAATACTCTTTGGCGAGTTGGAGGCTAAAGGGAGATAACTCCAAATTACTTTTGGGTAAGTTACTTTCTTCTCTGCAGTGAACATTTAATTGCCAAAGTTTCGGCTCGCAGGTCTTTTATTAGGTGTATGTATTTATGAAAACTCAAGTAATCTAGCAGACACGTCAATAGATGCCAGGGTGTACAAGGATGCTTGATGAGGCATGAATACAGACAGGCGTCACTGGTAAACATTCAAAAAGAATGTCACATTCACAGTTTTAATGAAATATTTGTATAAATAGCAAAACTCCAGAGTTGAGGGTAGTTTGTTTGGAGTGCTGTGGGAGAATCAATTGATTTTGCTCGACTCGCGTCCTCTACGTTTTCTCCTCACCGTGGAAACAATGTGCTTGTTTTTTTAATTTATATTTTTTATTCACAATAATAAATCAATACGAAGTTCCACGGAGAACACAAGTATAGCCTACATAAAAATATACAAAGGACAGTTGGGCTAGGGGTAAAATAACACAACATAAAGACCTTAAGGGATATACAGTGCATTCGGAAAGTATTCAGACCCCTTGACTTTTTCCACATTTTGTTAAATGGTTTCCCCCCCTCAATCTACACGCAATACCACATAATGCCAAAGCAAAAACAGGTTTTTAGACATTCGTCTTCTTGGGTATGACGCTACAAGCTTGGCACACCTGTAGAGACCTGTAGCTTGGCACACCTACCATTCTTCTCAGCAGATCCTCTCAAGCTCTGTCAGGTTGGATGGGGAGCGTCGCTGCACAGCTATTTTCAGGTCTCTCCAGAGATGTTTGATCGGGTTCAAGTCTGGGCTCTGGCTGGGCCATTCAAGGCCATTCAGAGACTTGTCCCGAAGCCACTCCTGCGTTGTCTTGGCTGTGTGCTTAGGGTCGTTGTCATGTTAGAAGGTGAACCTTCACCCCAGTCTGAGGTCCTGAGCGCTCTGGAGTAGGTTTTCATCTAGGATCTTGCTTTACTTTGCTCTGTTCATCTTTCCCTCAATCCTGACTAGTCTCCCAGTCCCTGCTGCTGAAAAACATCCCCACAGCATGATGCTGCCACCACCATGCTTCACCATAGGAATGGTGCCAGGTTTCCTCCAGATGTGACGCTTGGCATTCAGGCCAAAGAGTTCAATCTTGGTTTCATCATACCAGAGAATCTTGTTTCTTATGGTCTGAGAGTCCTTTAGGTGCCTTTTAGCAAACTCCAAGCGGGCTGTCATGTGCCTTTTACTGAGGAGTGGCTTCTGTCTGGCCACTCTACCATAAAGGCCTGATTGGTGGAGCACTGCAGAGAGAATTGTCCTTCTGGAAGGTTATCCCATCACCACAGAAGAACTCTGGAGCTCTGTCAGAGTGACCATCGGGTTCTTGGTCACCTTCCTGACCAAGACCCTTCTCCCCCGATTGCTCAGTTTGGCCAGATTGCCACCTCTAGGAAGAGTCTTGGTGGTTCCAAACTTCTTCAATTTAAGCATGATGGAGGCCACTGTGTTCTTGGGGACCTTTAAATGCTTGAATTTACCACAGGTGGACTCCAACTTGTAGAAACATCTCAAGGATGATCAATAGAAACAGGATGCACCTGAGCTCAATTTCGAGTTTCATAGCAAATGGTCTGAATGGGTGATCTGAAAAGTCAGTCAATCGATCAATAATATAATACTTTTAGCAAGAATGTTTATTTCCAATTTACAATCTGTAGAAACTTTTGTGAAACAGCACACCAATATGGATGGTGTTAAGAGATAGATGGGAGGGGTTGAATGGAACGGAAGGTTGTGACTAATAACAACAAGATAACTAATGTAAAACATACTGTGTCTGTAAAACGTATATACGTTAAGAACTTTTGTGAAAGAGCACAGTTTGAAAGACATGGCAAATAGAAATCAAACCGGATGGACATCAGAAATAAATGGGAGAGGTTGAGGGTAGAGGAAGGACAGGAGTAAAAACAAACCAAATAGAACTATTGTAAAATAGACTGTCCATAAAATGTATATAGTATGTATAAGCTGGAAGTAGAGGCCTAAGTGTTGTTGTTCACTAGTTTACTCCAATTAGTTTATTTTGTACTAGTGGTCCTCTGTAGTGGTCCTCTGTAGCTCAGCTGGTAGAGCACGGCGCTTGTAACGCCAAGGTAGTGGGTTCGATCCCCGGGACCACCCATACACAAAAATGTATGCACGCATGACTGTAAGTCGCTTTGGATAAAAGCGTCTGCTAAATGGCATATTATTATTATACTATTTTCTACATTGTAGAATAATAGTGAAGACATCAAAACTATGAAATAACACATATGGAATCATGTAGTAACCAAAAAAAGCATTAAACAAATCAAAATATATTTTATATTTGAGGTTCTTCAAATAGCCACCCTTTGCCTTGATGACAGCTTTGCACACTCTTGGCATTCTCTCAACCAGCTTCACCTGGAATCATGTAGTAACCAAAAAAGCATTAAACAAATCAAAATATATTTTATATTTGAGATTCTTCAAATAGTCACCCTTTGCCTTGATGACAGCTTTGCACACTCTTGGCATTCTCTCAACCAGCTTCACCTGGAATGCTTTTCCAACAGTCTTGAAGCAGTTCCCACATATGCTGAGCACTTGTTGGCTGCTTTTCCTTCACTCTGTGGTCCGACTCATCCCAAACCATCTCAATTTGGTTGAGGTCGGGGGACTGTGGAGGCCAGGTCATCTGATGCAGCATTCCATCACTCTCTTTCATGGTAAAATAGCTCTTACACCGTCTGGAGGTGTGTTGGGTCATTGTCGTGTTGAAAAACAAATGATAGTCCCACTAAGCCCAAACCAGATGTGATGGCGTATCGCTGCAGAATGCTGTGGTAGCCATGCTGGTTAAGTGTGCTTTGAATTCTAAATAAATCACAGACAGTGTCACCAGCAAAGCACTCCCACACCATAACACCACCTCCTCCATGCTTTACAGTGGGAACTACACATGCAGAGATCATCCGTTCGCCCACACCGCGTCTCACAAAGACGCATATTGGCTGATATAGCCCAGTAGTCCCCTGTAGCTCAGTTGGTAGAGCATGGCGCTTGCAACGCCAGGGTTGTGGGTTCATTTCCCACGGGGGGCCAGTATGAAAATGTATGCACTCACTAACTGTAAGTCGCTCTGGATAAGAGTGTCTGCTAAATGACTAAACATGTTTAATTTTTTTATTGTACAATATTAGGACCATGTGAGAATCTCTGGTAATTTAGCCTATTTCTTAAGTTAAATTTGCGCATTTGATATTGCCTATAGGGCGCAAAATTGCTGGGACCATGGGTGGCAAGTGAGCTGCGTCACATATGCCTAAAATAACATTGCGGGACTGCGGTTGGGTTTGGGACCAGTTCTTGCAGTAGCGGGTGGGAGTCGGACAGAAAGCCAGTGGGTGCGGGATGAAGAAATCTGTCCCGGGCAGACCTCTACTGTGCACCATGACAGTGAAGCCTGTAACATTAGAGTTGTTTTATTACTGTGTCAGTGTGACAAGTAGGGAATTATCTAGGGAAACTGACAGATCAATAACGTTACATTGCCATACAGACTAATAAAATTCACATTGCACTGAAAAAACGTCCGAATATCAATCAATCATCAATAGTTTGGCTGATGGTTTCATCGTTTGATTCAGGTATAGTTTAATTGAGGCAAAAAGAATAGCTAACGTTAGCCAACGGCCCCAGAAAATGGTTGGTGCCAACGCGACTCATGTTTTCACAAGAGCACCACTCTCTACGTGAACGTCTTGCACGATGCCAGGGTAAAAGTCCTAATCATACTCCACCACACACCACTTTCCGAACAATGCTTCACTTAGATCTTCAATGGGCTGGACGGCACTGTGAGATGTGTTAGATTTTCCATCTGGGTCTGCCTCTGTTTTTTCAACCAGAGTCACAGTCTGTGGGCTGAAACAGCTGCAGTGATGTGGAAAGGAACAGAAGCAACTGAGGATCCTCCAAGTTATCTCTCCTGGACTGTCGGTGACGATCTGGAAACACAGGAAATTCTAAAAGTTATGCACATTCGAAATATGTAATGATAGCATAGTCTATTGATAATATGTAATGATAGCATAGTCTAGTGGTACATAGTGTAGTAATAGCATAGTCTAGTAATACATAGTGTAGTGATAATATGTAATGATAGCATAGTCTAGTGGTACATAGTGTAGTGATAGCATAGTCTAGTAATACATAGTGTAGTGATAATATGTAATGATAGCATAGTCTAGTGGTACATAGTGTAGTGATAGCATAGTCTAGTAATACATAGTGTAGTGATAATATGTAATGATAGCATAGTCTAGTGGTACATAGTGTAGTGATAGCATAGTCTAGTAATACATAGTGTAGTGATAATATGTAATGATAGCATAGTCTAGTGGTACATAGTGTAGTGATAATATGTTTGTATAACAAATGTGAGATTTGACATAAAATAACCCACAACTATTACTTGGTGTCTCTTCATTATCCCACGGATTGTCTCCAGGTGATCCGGTAGGAGGGCCTCCATGCTCTCTATCTCCTCCTCTGAGATCTATAAGAGCTTGATAGCTGACTGATCTTTTGACAGTTCCTCAAATACAGATCTTCCATTTGGGAGGTCTTTGCCTTGTGCCACAATTCTATCTGCTCCTACCCCATCAGCTGGGCCTTTCCATGTCCGGCTTCTAGTTAATTCCATGTGACTCTCTGGAAGCCCATTTCAAAGGGAAATACACTGGGTTGTAGGCCCATCACTCATAAAGTGTACAGCAGTAGCCGATGGGCAGAGCTCAAGGAAGAAGACAGTGTTTTTGAGAGATGGGCCCAGATAGCAGAGGGGTCATGCTGTTTGTAAGTCGCTCTGGATAAGAGCGTCTGCTAAATGACGTAAATGTAAATGCTGCATAGAAGACCTCAGTGAGCAAAGTGAAACTATCATTTGTGGTATCTCCAACACAGGTGTGGAGGATCACCTG